GTGTTCTTGGTCTGTGTCCTAGTCCCTTGTTTCCACCACTTTATCTTGCTTCTTTGTGTGGACTGTGATGGTCTGTTGTCTCCAAGACATTGTGGCATTGTTGTATTAAGATCTCTGTTAACTGTTTGTGAGGAGCAGCCACGGGTGATTCAGGCTCTTCTTGGTAGTTTTTTTATCATTGGCCCATTGATGGAGAAGGAGGTGGTGGCTCTTGGTCAGTAAGTGAAGTTGCAGGAGGTGTGGATTTAGTTGTTTCTTATGGGGACTATTGCTGTCTCCCACTCAATTAGACAAAAATTACAACTGAATAACCATCAAAAACCTAAAAGCACATGGACAAAAAAACACACCATGTAATCACACAGGAACAGTAACCAAAAAAAGGAAAAAGGGAAAAAGAAGAAGAAAAAAACAAGAAAATCTGCAATATCTGGGTATATGGCAATAAGAAAAAAAAGGTAGAGAAGGAGAATAATAAAGAAAAAATGGGGAAAATGCAAAAAGAAAAACAAGGAAGAGGGTTAACCATGAGAAAACAAAGAAAAAAGAAAAAAAAATTGCAACCATGAACAGGAAAAAGAAAAAGAGCTGAAAACTAGGACCTGGGAGGGGAAGAATAAAGAATAATAGTAAAAAGGACAAATGTATTAATAATAATAGTAGTTTTAAATCAGACAAAACCAAGCAAACTAAAAACCAGAAAAAAGAAAGAGAAAAAAGAAAAAAATCGGGGGAGGATAGGGCAGAGCACCCAGGCTCTGCCTGAGCACACAGACTGTGATGGAGTTCCTGTGGGCCCAGAAGGTGGGTGGGTGTGGGGTATGGCCGCACCTCTGTTCATCAAGGGTTGTGGGGTATAAGAATAACAAGGGGAATGTTACACCTTTTCAGTCATCCAGTTCCAGAGTGTCCTTGGGGTTACTGGCAAACAGAACCTGTTCTTAAGCCCCTGGAATCTCAGAGATTGCTGTCTCTTTAAATATCCAAAATGGTCAAGCTGCTGTAAACATTCAAAATGGCGGCACCCTCTGGACTGGCTAAAGTCCACAGCTCAGCCCGCCTTTCTCTTCCCTGGTGCTTTGCGTTTTATTCCCCAGCCACCAGAACAGTCCTCCGTGAAGTCCCTGGCTAGCAGGGCTGATTTTTAGGTTAATTCTTAGGTCCTACCACCACTCAGCACTCTCCAAGCCATCTGTGCCATGCCGTCAGGCTTGCTCAGGATCACTGCCAGACTGCAGCTCCGTATGTCTTTTTTGGTATTTTCATGTAAATTTTTCTGCTAGTTGAGGTTTAGTCCACTTCTATATCCTTCCCTTCAAGGCTCAGGGGTCCAGGATTATCTTTTGTGTCTGTGTTAATTGGTTCCCCTTTTCTTTGTTGGAGAGGGTCTGTGCAGTCTTTCTCCCTATTCTGCCATCTTACTGGAAGTCTTCTGTGTATCTCTTTCTACCTCATTTCATCTTGTATTACTATTGTCTATGCCCACACAGATCGGCCCTTACAAGGTGGGAGCTCCATGAGGGCAACCCTCTGCCTGATTTGGCTTTGCACTCTCCAGGCTCAGTGACAGCCCTTAGGGACTGTGGAAGAGAAGAACTAAGCAGTTACATGGCTGGACAATCCAAGGATGAGCATCAGGCTGACTGACGCCCATCACTCAATTCAAACTTTGCCTTAGAGAATGGGGAGGGCTGGGATGACTTACTTTTCTTTTTCCTCTTCAGATAATGCTTGCCAAACAATTTTATTCAAGCGCCTGTTAAAAGATAAATCAATAGCAGTAATTTAGCAGCAACACTATTTCATTGCAAAAGGCTCTGAAAGGCACTGCGGGGAGGGGGCCCTCAACAAAGAGCCATTACTACTGGGCCATGCAACTGTCATTTGCTTAAAGAGCTGGAATAACAGTGTCTCCCTCCCTCAGTATTACTGCAGAAGCCTGATTGATGGCATTGAGGCAATTATGTCTAAACACAGGCCATTTTCTTCCTAAAAAAAAAACATAACTTGGCCCTTTGTTTGCTTTGTCTTCTGCCTGGGTTCTCACAGCAAAAGAAGATAATAGAGTCATAAGCAAAAGAGTCAGGACACTTGAAAGATCAACCAGCCTGACCCCTTCACCTTCCAAATGAGGCTGCTGAGAGGTGCAGACAGATGAAGTGACCAACTTGTGCATCTACCCACAGCTTTTTGGCCATGCAAAGGCTAACGCCTGTCACTGAATGTTTTCAAGAGAGACAGTGTCACTCCAAGGGGAAAGAAAGAGGTTGAAGCTAGTGGTTTCTGTAGATCTGTTACAGCCCCTTTATCCCTGTTACTAATCACTGATGCTTCTTTCAGAGGTTCCAGCCCAGTTTTGTTCCACTATATCATCACCCACAATCAGGCTTCCTGGAGTGCAAGGCTCAGAACACCAGCTCCAGGAGTCATGAATGTGTGTTCCGTGGAGAAAACATAGCTTCAGTGGAAAACACTGCCCTTCTAAGCAGGCTCCTAACTACTGGACCCATCAGTGGAGCTAGGCTCTCTGAACACACTTCAGGGGATGCTGTCCTGCCTGCTCTCCCATCATGAACCTGGGGAGAGCAAGCACAAGGAGTCTGGCACAGTGGCTCACACACTCACAAACCAGAATGCCTGCATATAAGCTTGATTCATTTCTCCTCTTACTAACTGTGAGACTTTGGGCCAGGACCCAACTTTTGTATAAAATGGAGATAATGATGACACTTCTCTTCATGTTTCTGTGAGGACTCAATGAGCCAGTGTGTGCACTGCACACAGAATTGCATCTGACAGAGGTAAATGCTCTGTAAGTGTCAGAAAAAGTCAGGAAGAGGGGAGGGAAGTGAACCACCTCAGTGCTTTTCTCACTTGAAGTTTTAGTTCTTTGGGGTCTATTTAGAAATGGGATTTCTTTAATCATGTGGTTCATGTAACAATGATCAAGGTTTCTAAGACTTGCTAAAAAGATTTGCAGCATGCATTTTTTATATGTGCTTTTCTAAACAAATCTTTATTCAAAATCCTCTAGTGTCTAAGGCATTTGACTGCTAACCAAAAGGATGACAGTTCAAACCTACCAGCCACTCCTTGGAAAGAAGATTGGGCAATCTACTTCCGTAGTGATACTGCCTCGGAAACCCAAGCAGGGGTTATTATGAGTCAGATCTGACTCTACAGTAGTGAGTTGTTTGTTTTGTTTTTTTGTTCTTAAAGCTGAGCCTTGAGGTTGAGACAGTGTAGTAAGGAGGTTGGGATGCAGACAAAGGCTTTGGAGCTTCAAAGGTGAAGGGTCAAATCTCAACATCCCTACTTTGTTGCTGTGTGATCTTTAGTCACATAACTTTATGAAATTCCATTTTCTTACCCATCTAACAAGGATAGTTCCACCTACCCTTGGTGTTGAGTGAATTAAGTAAGATGAGCTCTGGTGGCATAGTGGCTAAGACACTTGCCTGCTAACCAGACGGCTGGCGGTTCAAACCCACCAGCCACTCCTCGGAAGGAAGGTTGGGCAATTCTACTCCCATAGTGATACTGCCTCGGAGACCCAAGGAGGGGTCGCTATGAGTTGGGCCGACTCGACGGCACATAACAACAACAAAAATATGTGTAAAGTGAGAAGGGGTAATTTAACATTTGTTCCCTCCAGGTTCTGAAGAAGGACAAGGTTTAGACACTCTGAGACACTGCTGGTGAATGTGGGTCCAATTAGTCAGCACATGTCTCATATTTGAATTAGATCTTTAGGAAAGTATTTTCCCAAAAGCATATTTTTATAACTCTGTTATTCTCCTATTTTCTCCCTTCATTGAAATATTTCAAAGCACACAGGGCAGGATACTATAGCAGAAAAACTGGGAGTGAACAGAAGGGCCGCCTAAGGTGTTTTGACATCAGGTCCCGCTGACTGGGGAGGTGATCAGATGAAAACCGATAAGCATGTGGATGTAAGTGAGTCCCTTTGGGATGCTAGGAGGGCACTGGACATGAGAGCCTTTCTCAGGCTGTTCAGCCTCTTCATCTGGAGATTTTATTAACAGCAGTTGTCTTCTTCATTTGTTTTACACACTGCCATCGAGTCGGATCCGACTCATAGTGACCTCTCCTTGGGTTTCCAAGGCAGTTATCACTACGGAAGTAGATTTCCCAACCTTCCTTCCAACGAGTGCCTGGTGGGTTTGAATCGCCAGCCTTCTAGTTAGCAGTCAAATGCCTTAAGCATTTGGTTGAGGGGTTTGCCATCACTAGATTCTTAGGTCTCAAGTTCACTTGCACAAAGAATTGCTTCATTTTCAAAGCTGGTTGTGACTAACAGCTCTTCAGAAGTCTGATCAGTAGCCCCTGCAAATTCAAGACCATAAATAGAGGATTCCAAGAATGATCCCCAAATCAGGTTAGAGCTAATGTTTCTCCTGTGGACCTGAGGGCTCTAACCTTGATCTTAGACTCACAACCAAAATAAGCCATAGAAAAATCACCCCAGAATCCACCCAACCCTGGCAATAATGACTCAAAGCTTATGCTCAGACACACGAGCCAAAATTACTGCCTCAGTTCTTAAAATATGAAACAGAAAGACTATACACATGGGTACTAAGTGTGAGCAAAATAGATAGCTTTTGTCATTATTTGTGACTAGATGGCTTTGAACTTCTGAGTAGTCTGGTCATCCCTAACCATTTGGATTTAGGGTTATATCTAGTTTACTTTCATAGTAAACTTCTTAGAAACATTATATTGGGGGTGAGGGTGAGACAGAAGGTAACTTAAGTTTCATCAATTATTTTTCATATTCTGCATATCTTTAGAAAGGCAGAGCAAGAAGGAAAAGGAAACTGACATTTATATAAAAAAAATCCTTAAATACTATTAAGTGCAAAATATTAGGAAATTTTGTTCTATATAATATTAATATGATTAAATAGTGAAAATAAGTTACTTTGAATACAAATTAATATTTTAAAAACTAATATTAATTTATTAAAAACTATTAAATATTATTAGTGATACGGTTATAATGACAATATTTCTCTAGAGGGTGCTAAAAGGCTTTTCCCAGGTTCCTTGACTCTTTGAAAGTGAGAAGTACAACAAATCACTTATTGTGTCCGTATTTTGGTTTGGGTATTAATGAAGAAGAGCTCTTTTCTGCCTGGGAAGGGGAGGTGTCCTGTCATTCTTAAAACCCTTAGGAAAGGGTAAACCAGCAGGAAGAGCCATGTAACTATGACACTCCATGTATTTATGGTTATTTCAGCATTGGCAGACTTAGAGAATGAACCAAAAGATATTTTTAGGTGAGGGAAGTAGAAGAGGCTCAGGTTTAAGGAGATTGGGAGAGGTCTATGATGGGCCCAAGGAGCTCTGCTGGTGTATGGTTAAGGCATTTGGCTGCTAACCAAGAGGTCAGTGGTTCAAACTCACCAGCTGCTGCAAGGAAGAAAGATGTGGCAGTCTGCTCCTGTAAAGATTTACAGCCTTGAAAACCCAGTGGGGGTTGCTATGAGTTAGAACCGACTCAATGGCAGCGAGTTTGGTTTCCGTTTATGATGGACCCAGTGGGGATAGGCTTGATTTTGCACAGCAGGCTTCAGCTGGATTGTGCACTCTGTGTAGGCAGGAGTGGAGCCTTCTGAACACTCACTACACACAGTGCAGAATCACAGTAGACCAGTAAATGCTTGCCTGGGTCACATTTACTTTTGTGTACTTTTTTCAGTTTACCCAACCACATGGTGGTAAATGAAAACCCACTGCACAGCTTGCAGAACCAAGAATGGGCTTGCCTGCCCTGTTAGGCTCGCTTGAAGCTTAATTAAATTCTTTACACTGAGGATTAATTATGTGCTGGAGGTGGGGTAAGGAGGTTATTAGATCTCCCTTCAAGGGTGAAGTCTAGATTAAATGCCCTTGTGAAAAGTAGCTGCCTGTGTTGGCACTGACACAATAACTATTTAAGGGTATAATTTTCATTGCAGTAAATTTGATTATCTTCTTGATCTTGATATATTTTTTAAAAATAATACTATACACTTATATATCTCCACTGTCTCATCATACTGTAGAGTTTAATTGGTCATTTGACAGAATGTTAGATGGTGAAATGATCAAATTCGCTCTGCTAAAAGAAAACTTCAAAGATGAAAGATGGTTTCTTTAAAACTTTGTTGCTGTAAATATGTTAGCTGCTGCTGCTGTTGATACTCCTTATGGAGAATTTTTAAAATAGCTGTTTCAGATGAAAAGTTCAACCTAAAATAAGAGAAAACAAAGAAACAAAATCCACATTCATTAAAGAGCAGCAAGAACAATACTCACTCTTCATAGGACTTTATCGCTTGTTCTACTCTCTGCTTGTACGTATTGAGCTTCATTCCTTGGGGATTAATTAATGTCTTCTTATTTGTGTCCTTGCACACATGTGTCAAGGGGAACACCTACATACCAATACCAAAATAAAGTGTCACTTGACAGGTTAACATGTGCCTTTAAAAGTGTATCTACATGGCTGTACAATGTCTTTCTGTTTATAAAACCAATACATTACACTTGTAGAAAAATTAGAAAATCATACAGAGGAAAACAAGAGAGATACCATTGCTTAACTTTACCTTCCAATAGTTTTACTATTTTTAATATAACCACCACAAGCAACAACAACAGCCTGACTCAGGAAACCGTAGTCAGAATTGAGTATTTTCTTCATAATAAGCCTCTGTAAACTGAGAAGAGTTGACAATGAGAAATAAATCTCATTGTTGTTTATTTGTAAATTATTAGTTGGGTTCAACATCTTTCTTGCATATTTATTTTACATTTTTTTGATTGTTGCTTGGGTGAAGATTTACAGAGCAAATAGTTTTCCATTCAACAATTTATACACATTTTGTTTCATGACATTAGTTGCAATCCCCTCAACATAAAGCATTCTTCCTACTTTCTCTCTAGAACTCAATATAGACTTGCAGTTTTACTACTAAAAAATATTTGCTTAAGCTTAGAATCAGTGTTTTAATGTTTGGGGAAATTTAATTGATTAAATATACGAGTCTTGATAAATTAGTATTTTCAGTACTCTGTAAATATTTAATGGAAAGTTACCTGTTTCATATTTTAAAATGTTCATTTGTAAATAAGTGTATATGATTAGGATTTGCTACACAGATCCCCCTCCAAGTGGTTGAGAGTTGTAGCAGGGTACCATCTAGTTCTTCTCATCTCATGGTCATATAGACTGAGGATCGCATGGTCTACCAGTCCCTTGGACTAATTGTTTCCATGCGTCTTTGGTTTTCTTCATTCTTCTTTGCTCTGGATGAGGAGAGAACCATTCTTGCATCTAGATGGCCACCTGCAAGCTTTTAAGATCCCAGTTGCTACTCAGCAAAGTAATGTGGAACAATGTTTTTGTGTAGTATGTTATGCCAATTGAGCTTGATGTCCCCTGGGACCATGGTCCCAAGCCCACAGGTCCAAAAAGTCACCACAACCTTGTCTCTTATCAGCTCTACTATATACCTGGACATTCTTACAGAACACACAAATACTCTCGTAGAAACATCCTCTGTATGAGCACACTCCTCCCTGGATAGATGTACCTGATTGTTCAGCTTGTCTACCTATCTATCCACCCACAGATCAATGTTTGCTATCACTGACAACCCAGTACTGTAGGTATAAAAGGGTTTATCTTTGTTGTCTGTACCTCCCATGTACCTCTCTCTGTCTTCCTCTTCCTCAATGCCATTGTGTTGATCACTCACATTTGGTACATTGCCCTTCCCTTTACCTAAATCAATACTAGTCTCTACCTATCTAGCAGTATTCCCTCCCCTACTCTCCCACCCCGGTAACCAAGAAAGAAAATTTCCTTCCACATATCAACATTTCCTTGACTTTTCACAATCATGTACTAATACAGTATTTGTCCTTCTGTGATTGACTTCTTTCACTCAGCACAATGTCCTCCAAGTACATCCATGTTATGCGGTGTGTTGGATTGGGTTCTCTAGAGAAACACAAAAACCAGCAAAGTATATATATATATATATATATTTATAGAGAGAGAAAGAGAGAGAGAGAAATTTATCTTAGATAAATGGCTCCAAATCTTTTGAATTCCTCAAAGTTCAAGCTGAAAAGTTCGTCTCTGGAGGGGGATGGGGCCCAGGGCCGTCTGGCTTTCACACGCACGGCAGAGGAGTTCAAGTCACAAAGTTCATCTCTGGAGAGAGATGGGGCCCGGAGTCGTCTGGTTCCCGTAAGCGCAGCAGAGCCGGGAGAATCAAACTGGCACGCAGGGTCACCATTCCCAACAAAGAATGAATCCGAAAGCCTCCGGGGCGAGCAGCGAGCTGCTTGCTCCAGGAAGTATATAGTCCGGAATGCCGTTCTTCCAGTTTGTCCCTGGGATAGTATTACAGGTAGGCCACACCCCTGGGGAAACTCCCCCTAGACTGACCGGCCGCTTAGGACGCAGTCATGTGATCCATCATGGGAACTACCACTCACAACTGGAGTCCAGCCAAGTTGACACATCTTCAACTATCACATGCGGTGTTTTGCAGATTCTACATTATTCTTTACTGTTGCATCATAGTATTCCATTCTTTGTGCGTACCATAGTGTGGTTATCCATTCTTCTGTTGATGGGCACCTAGGTAGTTTCCATCTTTTTGGAATTGTAAATAGTGCTACAATGAGCATGGATAGGCATATATCTGTTCTTGTCCTGGCTCTCACTTCTTTAGGATATATACCTAGTAATGGAATTGCTGGGTCAAATGGTATTTCCATTTTCAACTTTTTAAGGAATCACCATACTGCTTCCCACAGTGGTTGTATCACAGTCCCACCAGCAGTGTATGAGAGTCCTAATCTCTCCACATCCTTGCCAGCACTTATTTTCTGTCTGTTGAACTTTGCTACTAGTGCTGGGGCAAGATAGTATCTCATTGTTGTTCTGATTTGCATCCCTCTAATGGCTAATGATCATGAGCATTTCTTCATGTGTTTGTTGGCCACCTGAATATCCTCTTTGGTGAAGTGTCTATTCATGTCTTCTGCCCATTTTTTAATTTGAGTGTTCGTCTTTTTGGTGTTGGGGTGTTAGAGTTTTCTATAAATTTTAGAGATAAGTCCCTTATCAGATATGTCATTGCCAAATATTTTTTTTCCCAATCTGTAGGTTCTCTTTTGACTCTCGGAGAAGTCTTTTGAAGCACACACAAATTTAATTTTTAGAAGGTCCCATTCACCTAGTTTATCTTCTGCTGTTTGTGCATTTTGGGGTTATACTTGATAGTCTATTTATGTCATATATTAGGGCCCCTAAATTTGTCCCTATTTTTTCCTTAAGGAACTTTATAATTTTAGGTTTCACATTTATTATGTCTTTGATCCATCTGGAATTAGTTTTTGTGTATGGTGTGAGGTTTAGATCTTGTTTCATTTTTCTGCAAATGGACATCCAGCTTTGCCAGCACCATTTGTTAAGCAATCCCTTCCCCATTTAATGGATTTCAGCCCTTTGTCAAAGATCAACTGACTACAGGTTTTTGGACCTATTTCTGGGTTCTCAATTCTATTCCACTGGTCTATGTGTCTGTCGTTGTACCAATACCAGGCAGTTTTGACTACTGTGGCTGTATAGTAGGTTTTGAGATCTGGCAGTGTCAGACCTCTACTTCGTTGTTCTTCTTCACTAGTGCTTTGCTTATCCAAGGTCTCTTTCTTTTCCATATAAAGTTAGTGACTGTTTTTTCCATACCATTAAAGAATGTTGATGGGATCTGGATTTGGATTGCATTGAATATATAGATTGCTTTGGGTAGAGTTGACACTTTCACAATGTTCAATCTTCTTATCCATGAGCATGGTATGTTCTTCCATTTATGTAGATCTCTTATGGTTTCTTGAAGTAGCCTTTTGTAGTTTTCTTTGTACAGGTCTTTTGTGTCCTGGTAAGATTTATTTCCAAGTATTTTATTTTTTGGTAGCTATTGTAAATGGTATTGATTTCCTTATTCCTTTTTTAGCTTTTTGCTGGTATAAAGAAATCCAACTGATTTTTGTATGTTGATCTTGTATCCTGCCAGTATGCTAAATCTCTCAATTAGTTCCAATAGTTTTTGAATGAGTCTCTTGGGCTTTCTATGTATAGGATCATATCATCAGCAAATAGGGATGGTTTTACTTCTTCCTTACCAATTTGGATGTCTTTGATTTCCCTTTCTTGCCTTATTGCTCTGGCTAGAACTTCCAATACAAGACTGGTGGTTCAAACCCACCAGCCACTCCTCAGAAGGAAGGTTGGGCAATCTACTTCCATAGTGATACCACCTTGGAAACCCAAGGAGGGGGTCATTCGGATCTGACTCGATGGCAATGGGTTCTGGTGACTGTAGGCTTTTCTTGCTGTTCTTTTTCTAATTGTTGGAGATGTTGGTTTAAAGTGTTGATTTTGCTCTTTCATCTTTTTTGATGTGTGCATTTATTGCTTTAAATTGGCCTCTGATTACTGCTTTTGCTGTGTCCCAAACATTTTGGTATGTTGTGATTTCATTCTCATTTGATTCAAGAAATTTTTTAAGTTCATTTTTTATTTCTACTATTACCTAGTCGTTCTTAAGGAGGGTGTTGTTCAGTTTCCATGTGTTTGCTCTTTTTTCATTGATCTTCCTATTGTTGATTTCTAATTTTATAGCATCTGAGAAGATGCTTTGCAGTGTTTCATGTTTTTAAATTTATTAAGTCTTGCTTTATGGCCTAACATATGGTCTATCATGGAGAATGTTCCACATGCACTAGAAAAGAATGTATATTGGGCTGTTGTTCCAGTTGTTCTAGCTTTGAAAGTGGTGTATTAAAGTCTCCCACTACGACTGTGGAGTCATGTATTTGCCTTTTCAACTCTTTTACAGTCTAATTTATGTATTTTAGGGCTCTTTCATTGGGTCCATAGATATTTATCATGGTTATTGTTCTTGTTCAATTGATCCTTTAATCATTATATAATGTCCTTCCTTGTCTCTTATGGTGGTTTTTGTCTTAAAGTCAATTTTATCAGAATTTAATATTGTCACTCTAGATTGTTTTTGGTTGGCATTTGCTTGATATATCTTTTTCCAACCTTCGATTTTTCATCTATTTTTGTCTTCCTCTCTAAGGTGTGTCTCTTGTAGATAGCATATTGATGGATTATGTTTTCTTATCCATTCTGCAACTCTCCGTCTCTTGAGTGATGCATTTAATCCATTGACATTCAGTGTAATTATTGATAATTATTGAATTTGTTGCTGTCATTTTGTTATGTGTTTTTTCGTGGTGTTCCTGGTTTCTGTGTTCCATATAATTTTCTGTGCTGAGCTCATTTTGTTTATGAATCATGTTATCATTTCCTTCATTGCTGTTGTTTTAGTATTTGCTAAATATTTGT